CGGAACTGCTTCTCTTCAGCGCTCTCATTCAGCGCAGCATGTGTCTGATGCATTTGGGGTGGAGGCTAATGCACAGAGACACATCTATTACCCACAGCCCTACATATCTACATTACCGTAATACAAAGAATAAAACATCCATGATATAGAAGATTGCATTGTAGGTAATCCTCTAACACAGGCAAGTCACTCATAACACATTAAACAATCACACTTCTGATACAAAATAAATATAAAAATGTGCTTCCCCCCCCCTTAGGTTAAACACTATTGCTGAACTGCCTTACAATCCTTTTGAATCATTTCTCAAAATCTACACATCACTTTATGAAGAAATAGCAATATTAGTGCACCAATGGTGTATAGTTACTATAAGACATAAATATCAATATAATTTACTTCCCTTGACCCAGGCATACTATGCACAATATACAAGTAATAAAGAAACATCAAAAATAGTGTCTCAACTTACAGGTTCTGAAGGTACAAACTGGCTGTGATCGATGTTACTGTCAATGAAAGAGGTGACGTGTCATACAATTCACTGCAATTAAACTATTGTCAACTGTACAGTTGATAGAATTAAACTAAGGGTTTCCATAGTTTTCTTAGTCTCTATATACCTCAGTTTGCTATGTGTTCATTTTTTACTAAGTTTTTAAAGTGTGTGCATATATTCATGTTAGACTAAATCGTGTCAGAGGATGTTTGAAATACTCACCTTACGGCGTAGTCGATAAGACCACCAACCATTTTTTTGAGTAAAAATGCCATCTTCAAATTTATTTGGAGGGTTGCTTGGAAAAGGATAACATGACACTTTAGTAACTGCGAAAGCCTTATTATTCATTCTGTATATGTAAGACATGCGCATTTATGTAACACTCCTGTAGAAACTAGTCTACCTTTTAGTCACGTTTACATTATAAGTGCATGATACTTCTAAAATACTCTATCATTGTCAGATAACTTTAAAAATTTAAATGCAACCTCAAATGAATTACCGTATATCAATACTTCAGTCATAAGAAAACAACAAATAGTCATACAATGTAATACAGTGGCATGTTCTGTAGTACAAAAGTGATTTACATGTATCTACACAGGAAGTGAGCTCCGAGTCGTAATTACAGTCAAAAATGATCGACCTAAAGCAAATACAAATTAATTCTTGAGTTAAACTCAGTCCAAATTCCAAAAACTGTATCGTTGTGAAAACTTTTGGCAACTTAATTGCGTATACAGAACAGGTTAAACACCACAATTCAGTAATCCTAAGACATCAGTAGCATCTGATGAAATAATATAGTCAGCATTAACTAATAGAAACAAATTTATATTGCAATTTTTTAAAATATGCTAATTTTATATAGTCACTTTACTCGCTTTAGTCAGCCTAACAAAACCGCGTAAAAGAAATTTGAATAAAAATTAAATTTTATTAAATCTATACCTTAAGATGAAAATCCTGCCGAATCCACCAACTGCTCCAGTGGGTGTAAAAAACCTGTTCAGTCAGAGCAGCGAGACATTCTTGTTTCAAGGAAGAAATGCCCTTACAGCCAAACACACCCAGACAGCACCTGACCGGAGGGTAAACACGTCTTTGGGTTCTAAAGCCAACTGCAATGAAAGGCTTATTGTATAAAATACAAAAGGGAGTTGAGCCAGACCCACACTGAGGCAGACCCCAGACCCCTATTGTTAGTGGCGCAGGGACAGGGCAGGCGACGGCTTGGGGCCCTGAGCTGGGACGAGGCCCCAAGTTGGGCCGACCACATAGTCCACTGCAACAAATCTGTTTTATTTGTGTATTCCGTTTTTCACAAAAAGTGAAAATAAAAGTCTTGTGTTTCTTTAATTCTCTTTGTTGATATTATAGATTTACACTTCACAGTAAAATAAATGTAATACATTTACCATGCCGGGAGAGGGTGAGTAGGAGAGCCC